CCAGGAGCCCCTAGTAGCGTCCTTGCTCCTAGTAGCGATGCCAGGAGCCCCTAGTAGCTTCTTGCTCCTAATAAGCGTTATTCAAGCTTATTCAATATGGAAGGGCGCCGCTAATACATCGGGGCCATAACTTCAATCCTCCATCAGGATGCCTCCGTTGCTTCACAGTGGAGATGCATTTCATTGACTACTCGCACTTATGCAGCTGACTTTGTTCTCCTTCAATCAGCGCAGTTGACACTGGCGGAACTGTGGACCATCAGCTGAAGCCAATCAAGGTGAAGTCATGGCATCAAACTGTGGGCTTTGATGCTGGCGTCAACATGTCAGGTGTCAGATGGCCACAGGCATCTTCAATTTTGTCAACTGTCATGAACTTCGCGTGGAGCAAACCAAGGCTCGATCTTATCAACTTCTCTAACTTCAGTTATGGTGGTCCTCAGGGCAGCAACAGCATTGGTTCCGTGTCCGTGAGGAGATTGCGCTCAGACTGTCAGGATCATGCGCCGGGCCCACCCAGCAGCATTCCAATCACCTGAAAGGGTGATTCATCAGGGCCACAACATGTCTCCGAGCCACGCTCTCTCATGTTCCTCCGGCCTTCGTTTTTGAAGTTGGTCACTATGCGCTCAACTTTTAGCTGCGCTCTACCCACTTGTCCACGCAGGCAGGCAGGACCTCGGGGGATTTTTTTGATCTTTGCGGGCGAGAACCTTTGGGCCAACAGCGGCCTCGTGATCGAATCTTTAGCATGGGGCCGTGGGGCCCCCGGCCCAAAATCAGACCATTGTCGCCAGATCGCTCCCAGCACTTATCCTGGTCAGAATGTCGATCGCCTCTGCACTCTGTAGGGGGCCGCGTTCATGCCCAAACGCGGCCGCCAATGATCCACCAGAATCTACCAATGTCTGCAAGTTGATTTCTCCTTCCCTTCATGCGCTCTCAGCGTAGCTTTTTGAATGTCGATTCTTCAGCAACCCGACAAATGGCAGCCTGCGTTTGGTATTTCCGGCGGAAGTGCAATTTCAACCACGCACACCGGAAGGAATGAAAAGACTCACGCGCATCTTGTCCCCAAGTCTTCAAGACGGGCATCGCGCAGGGCTGGCTTCATGTCAACGACTAGTGTGAAGCACCGCCTCTTGGCAGTGAACCTTCGTGCCCCAGCCCCAGAGAATGATGGATCTTTACAAGGTGACCCTTCGCACCACCGGAGCTTTGGCAGCTTGGTCTTCAGCACTTTTACTGATGCCTATATCAATCTCCCCCTTTGCAACTTTATGTGTCTACCCTGATCTACCGAAATACAGTAGTTACATACCTATGGATGTAACGTGCCCACAGATATGTTTGTTTGCAGCAGAGAGAGAGAGAGAGAGAGATAGATTTCAAGGCAACTTCGCGTTATGATGACTCCGGATTGGACTTCGCCGCGGTAAACATTTTATTTTGTGCCACAAACACCCACAGCTTCGTTGACACTCATGAAATAACATGACGAGAGTAAAATTGTTCTCCTTTTTGGCCTACTGGCTTAAATTGTTCAAAGTTACGTTTCTGAAGTGAAGGTGCGGTTGGCGGACAGCCACCGAAGACTGGGAGACTCACCATGGTATGGGCCTCATTTTGTAAGCGAAACTTCCTTGCACGCGTTTGTTTTCCCGTCCACTTATTCATTTGCGTCAGCCTTTTGTTTTGCATCATGTTTGTAGAGATTGAGGTCGCTCTTTCAAGCAAGCTTTCCAGATCCCCATTCTACTGATGAACTTTGTGTGGTGGTAAACTCAAAGTTGGACCGTGCTCTGGCTGTGGGTTGGGTTCTGTACGTTGTTAGCGTTTCTTGTGCAACGAGGTGGCTGAAGACAAACCCCATAAACGCAAATGGAAGGCTTTGCAGCGAGATGCGGGAGGCTTCAAGCGAGGTTTAACACAGTTGGCAGTTTTTGCAGGTTTTGACCAAAGAAAACGGCTTGGTTGTAACGGCAGAAGCAGACCCTAACTCCAAGGCTGGTGGATTCCTTGACGCTTTGCTTTTCTTTTCTAAACAGTTCACATTCTTCGGTGGTGAAGGTCAGTGAAGGTCAGTTGTTCTCAGAGTTGAATCCAGGAGTTGTGCCGCCTTCCGGCAAATGCTGTCGTTGTGGAGGCAAAACTTGGGTTGAAATTCAATGTTTTTGAAGTGCTTTCATGCATCTTCATTGCCTGCGAGAGGATGGCATTCCACCAAAGAGACTTCCCACCGGTGAGCGCCGACTCCGAATTCGGTACAAGGCACATGGCTGACATTGCTGCTGATGCAAACATGTAGGGCTCGAGGCTCTTTGTGTTTTCTCGAGGCTGATGCTGCCAAACAAGCAGAAGGTGATCTTATTGATGCCATGGAACCCGAAGAATATATTGTAGAGGTTGAAGCAGGACGCCAACATTGAAGCACAGTTCCTTGCACATTTTCCATTGCTTCCGCATATCCATTTTCTATCAAGCAGGATACTTTGGAAGTGATTTCGGGACAGCTGCTACGTCTGTCCGTGTCTGTTCCAAAGGGGTACGCTCAGTCGCAAAGGTTTCACCAAAACAGGCGAGAGAAGACCGCTCCGGAAGGTACTGAAGACCTTGAATTTCAGACCTGGTGTAGAGGGTGGAGCTGCTGGAATAGATTCTGAGCAAGGAGCCAGCATGGGCGCAGGACTTGGGACGTTTATGGCTAGTCGTGGCATTGAGTGTTTCCTTTTTGAATCATGCTTCAGGTTGGACCCCTCGGGATCGCACCATGCACACAGTTCGCATCACCATTCGCAAGACCGGTGCAAGACTTGATCAGTGAAGGGGAGAAATGCAAGATGCTGAATGAAGCTGGTTCTTTTAGTACCCTTGGCTGTCTTGGCATTCAAATGACCAGGCTGGCATACTTTTGAGATCATTGATGGCAGCGACTCTGAGAAGACTTGGTCCAAAGATTTCAAGGCGAGCTTCGGCGAGCTCCGGCAAAATTGTCTCAGCACAGGCTTTACAGGCGACATGGACGACTCTGACGGGCGATGCTGTGCACATGACAAGATCGCAGGTTCTCGCAGAGTGCTATACCCAGGACCACTGAAAGGACTCTCCTCAAATCAAGAAAGGTCGCAGAGCAACATCGTCAGCTTCACTCAATGTATATATCATCCATTCATGCTCACATCCTAATACAGGGAACACTTGGCCATATGTTGTGCAACTTCAACAATATGCAGCACCGGCCAGATGTGGACAGCTTCTGCTGCACTCTGCTGCTGTTCCAAACGCAATTTTGCAGATGAAAGATGGCCAGAAAACCAGTACCACCAGGGCTCAGCAGAAATGAAGCAAGACCCCAGCCACTTGGACCTCGAGCGCCTGCTCACCCTAACTGTTAGACTAGCTGTGGCACCATGTCACACTCTGGTGCATGCTGTTGACCGGCTAGGAGTAATGCTGTAATTCAAAGCATCCTTGAAATACTTATTATCGGCTTGTTGGAGAATCTTTGGTGCCCTAATCTTTCCATTCGTTGCCCACCAAGCCCTGTTTTTTGACGGATGCATCTCCAGGTTTTGGGATGGTTTGATGACTACAAAGGCCGTGCTTTTTGGTGCTGATCTGTAGTGTTCTGGTTGTTCCCAGAGCAGGAATTTCAGGGATCGCAATCACAGATCCTGACAACGAAGAGCTGGAACTTGGCAAGGCTATTCTTGTGCTTGATGCATTGGACATGATATGAACATAAAGCAAGCAACATTTGATCAAGATTGCCAAGTTGGCTTTTCAGGAGCGTGAATACCACAACAGTGGAACCCACAAGCTGCGATTGCGCAGAATGGGAGAGGCAATGTGCTGTCAGTGTTGAACACATCCCTGGAGGGCGTGTTTTCTTCGAGTGAGGCAACAGCTGATGTGGATGACAAGTTCGACCCTCGCGGTTGGGTGAGAGCCATAGTAGAGATGCCGAAGGTGAATGGGGTAGCAAACAACATCCCAGGTAACCATCCGCAAGACAGATATGGAATTGGTGGAGGACATTCGCTTTAGATGGAAGTCATGTTTTTCTGTGTCTTCCAGCCTTGGGAGTGCTGCACTGATGTTGTAGCAAGATCTACTCACAGCGGATGTGTGTACTGTTTTGTACTCTACTAGCTTTGCAGCAATATTCACAGCGCTTCGAGCTCGAAGCCGCCCGCGCGGAGTGTGTGCGTCTGTTTGTCTCGGTCTGTCAGTCTGTCTGTCTCGGTCGGACACACGGACGAACACACTCACCATGTCAACAATGCAGTGTCACCCGGGCGGTAAAGCCGGCATCGCAAACATTTACCTCCAAAGCCATATCAGTTTTGATCAATCTTCAAAAGCATACCAACAAACCCACCTATCCATAAGTGAGCCCCCCCCAAGCTAAAGCTCATTAAGCGGATTAATCCAGCAGCTATCTTGCGGCTTGTGCGAGCCTCCACAACGCCTCAGCACCTTCGGTGCGGGCGGATGGATACAATATATCTATTCAGCGAACTGCGTGTGGAACTATGTCGGTAGCATGGCGTAGCATGGCATTGCTTGGCTTGCTGAAAGGTTGTTGATTGAAGCATGTATAGTGTAGAGTGTTTCATGAGAGACCACGGAAATTCTGCATGTAAAGATTTGCGCCCACAGGAATAGGATGGAAAGAAGTCAATTCCTAACTTGACTTTGGCTCAAGAAGTGAGAAAGGGAGCACACAAGCGCTCGCATGAGTTCGGAACCGATCTCAAGTACACGATCGACCACTTCGTGGTTCACAGTCTTGAAAGAAAAGGTCATTTAACTGGTTATCGGCCGCGTCTACACTGAGCGGAGAGAGACATCACCAGTGACTCACAACAGAGTATATCGGCAAGATCATGCTCCCCAAAAATCGTTTGACTCGAAGAACATCGATTCACGTCGCGATCGTCGGAGAACTTCGGAGTACATTGTTAAAAGAAAAGCTGGATTGATCCGGAACTTCTCCTGACCCACCGGCTGCAGCGCCTCCGGTGCCTAGCGGGCAGAGAAGCTCATGGCAGCGGCTGAGTCAGCCAGGGCCCAAAGAAAATGGCTCTGTTGAACATTGTACCATACGAAGCTGGATTGGCGCAGTCAGTGGCGCTTGATCAGATGCACTTGTTGTCGTTGACGCTTGCAGGAAGGAGCGCGAAGGATCTCACAGAGTTTGTCAGGAAAGCGAACAGTTCCTACGTCCTCCATGGTCTCAAACAAACAGATCTCCCCGCTCCTGCAATGCTGTTCCAAAGTTTATTTGGCTCTGGCAACAGGTCAAGAGGGTGCCCAGGTTTGCAAGTATGACTTGGGGCTTAAATTGCAGAGGGGTTGAGAGGCGTGCCGTGGACTATGACAACATCAGCAAGGGCTTGAATGACATGCTCAATGGCCACGAAGAACCCATTTTTGTGAACACTGTGTTCGTGGACGCCTGGTCAAGAGGCTGATGCAATGAAGCTGAGAAGGCCTATGAGCGGAGAAGCCTTCGGAAGAGGGGCTGGCTACAACGTCATGCAGCAGGACCCCGGACTCAAGCGATCTGTCATAGATCTGGGGTCCGACATGTCCTTGCGTTTGGCAAGCGTATGTTTAATTGGAGAAAAGTACACTTCTTTCTCGTGAAGGTCCTTTGCCCCCCCGCTCGCTCTCGGGCCGCTTCATAGTCAATGACCTGGACAACATTGCGGTGCCTCAAGACGGAGTCAAGCCGCCAACCTGCAAACAACCTGAACAAGTTGTGGGAGTTTCGCAGCCGCCGTGCCGTCGTTCTTCGCATTGTAAAAGATGAGCGCCTTAACGGGGTATTTGACGCCCTGAAGCGGTTCACCTGTTGTGACCTCAACCTCAGATCGAATCTGAAAATCAACATGCGAAGCACGATGCCGATCACGCGGAACGCTTGGTGAGGTAGTCCAGCGCAGCAGCCTTTGTCAACTCTGTGGCAGCCTCTAACTTGCGTGGTCTAGGCCAGATGCGTTGGAAGCCATCAAGAAGGAGTTCAAGTGTTGGTGACAGGGCACTTGGGATCTTGACAGTGTCGCCGAGGAGATGCTTGTGAAGAATGAAACCATTCAGAACAACGAGACCATTTGTTCGGAGAAGCGCATGGAGTTTGACCCTCAGTAACGGTCCTTCAAGGCCGTGTCTGCTACCAGGCGACGCCAAACCGCAGATGGAAATCTTACATAGTACCAAACAGATTTTGGCCGCGTCTCCAGCTTCAATAGTTGCAGTAAACGCGATTATCTCCTATATATGGTGTGTCACGCCCTGATAAGCGCGGATGCTGTGAAGGCACACCTCCAATCTTAGTTGCGCAGTTGGCGACAACTTGGATTCGCTTGCCAAAGGAACTTTGGCCATCTGAGTGGTTCAAGAATGATGGCGCGCCACGTTTCAGGCGTCCGGTCATCAGGCTCAAGAAGGCGCAGTAGTACCAGAGTGGCAGGAGCACCTGGAGTGGCAGCGGTCAGGATGGGTTCCATGATGTCGAGAAAGCACTGATTTCCGATATGTAGTGGATGAGGTGCTACACTCAGACGAGATGACGGTGAAGTTGCAATTGGCGCGCAGGAGTCAAGGTGAGAGGATTGGTGTGTGTGTGTCACCCTTGGAGTCATAGGGATGCTTTTGCATTTGTTTTACTGCAGGGGGGTAGTGCACGACTGACAGACACTACCCAACGAAGACACTGTCAGTTCGTGGTGAAGCAATGCGGGACGCCGCATTGTGTACCTGCTGGAATTTTAACTTTTCCTGAGTTGAGTTTGACCTTCTGCAGACTTGCGCGACACGTCGTCATCTTGTCGGTTCGTCGTTCGGCTCCTTCCTCTTTGGGCCACCTCTCCGTTTGAAGACCCCCAGGTTTCGCTGGTTCCCTACTGATACTCTTAGGATCTGGAACCCTAGGCCGGCGTGTGGCACCGCATTCAGTTCAGTACACAATATCCTAAGTGTGTTTGGCCTTGTGCCAACCCGGGATGAGCCCGCAGAGTGCCTCCCGTGGACCCTTCGAACGGGTGTACGTCGTTATCTCCCCTGCCCGGAGATGTAGATGCCCAGAGCGGGCGAAGGTGGCCTAGGCCGTACGAACGATGATCTTTGTTTCATCTTTGGAATTCCAAGTTGGCTCATGCCTTTACGTGACCGCAGCGGTCAAAGCAGCCAGCCATTTCGGCAAGGCACAAGGTGACCACAGCGGTCAAAGCAAGTTTAAGGTCCATTGGGACCTGTTGGAGCCTTAGTATCTCAGTTGATTCCTCCTTCTCCGCTCCCCGCTCCTCTTTGGTCCCTGGACGCTTGATTCGTAGCTGGGAACACCTCTCTCTCTCTCTCTCGCTCTCTCTCCTTTTCTTGACGGGTGTGTCCTTGGACGCTTGAGCGGTAGCTGGGAACACCATCGTCTCATTCCTTTTCTCGTTTGGTGTGTCCTTGGACGCTGGGCTCGTAGCTGGGAGCACCTCTCTCACTCTCTCTCTCTCTCTCACTCTCACTCTCCCTCTCCCTCTCCCTCTCCCTCTCGCTCTCGCTCTCGCTCTCGCTCTCTCTCTCTCTCTCTCTCTCTCCCTCTCCCTGCTCCCTGCGCCTCCCGCCGCTATGCAGCTCTCTCCTACCGGCCTCGCCGCCTTCACCTTGCCACACACAGGCCTTCAACCTTTCCTTTCCCTTCCTTACGCCGGGGTCTACACCCTACCGGATAACAGCGTGCAGGGGTGCCTGGGCCTTTCAGTGTGCAGCTGGCAACCGCACCAACCATCCTTCCTCCAGTTTACAAGAAACGGTCACTTCTTTTCCGTTTCTTGCTCTTCCTCTTCCTGCGCCTCCACACACCTTTCCTGTCCCTTCCCTACGCCGGGGTTTACACCCTACTGGATAACCGCGTGCAGGGGTGCCTGGGCCTTTTACTGTGCAGCTGGCAACCGCACCAACCATCCTCACTGAAATCTCACCCCACCTTTGGCGCGGAGCTTAAAATCTTGCCTCCCTCCGGGGAGGCATGTGTGTGTCACCCTTGGAGTCATAGGGCCATAGGGATGCTTTTGCATTTGTTTTACTGCAGGGGGGTAGTGCACGACTGACAGACACTACCCAACGAAGACACTGTCAGTTCGTGGTGAAGCAATGCGGGACGCCGCATTGTGTACCTGCTGGAATTTTAACTTTTCCTGAGTTGAGTTTGACCTTCTGCAGACTTGCGCGACACGTCGTCATCTTGTCGGTTCGTCGTTCGGCTCCTTCCTCTTTGGGCCACCTCTCCGTTTGAAGACCCCCAGGTTTTGCTGGTTCCCTACTGATACTCTTAGGATCTGGAACCCTAGGCCGGCGTGTGGCACCGCATTCAGTTCAGTACACAATATCCTAAGTGTGTGCCCCTTGTAGTCACAGGGGTTCTTTTGAATTGTGAACAGAATTGCCTTGTTTAGAGCAGGGGGCATGCGGCCATCACGCAAACGCATGCCAACAAAGCTATGCGTGATGGTGGAAGCCAGGTCTGATCAACCTGGTGTACCTGCTTTTGAAAACCTAAGTATGGCAAAAGCTGTCCAATACGTTGTTTCTGCATTTTGTCATGCTGCAGTAAAGGGCTAGTGCATCGGCAACTCACCTTGCAGGCTTTGGAGGTTTCTCGCACTCACCTGTTTTCAGTTACCTGGAACCTTAGGCGGCTTACTTAGGCTGGCGTGTGGCACCGCATTCACATCCGTACGCATTTCCATAAGTGTGTGTGTGTGTGCGTATATGTGTGCGCCACCTCCCGTCTCTAGAGGTTCTACCTTCCACTCTTTCCCTTTACTCGACCCACTGTACGGTACACCGCAGGGGGCACCTGAAGCAGAGATTGAAAACGAAGACGCTCCGGGACGCTGGAGTTACGTACCTGCAATTTTAATTTCGCATCATTTTCTCGGTCTCACCCTTGTCACAAGCAATTCTGTTATGCGGACTTATCGCCTTTCCGTTCATTCAGTCAAGCAGTAAAGTGCTAATGCTCCCTGAGATCTC